TATATATATATATCAAACACGATTTTCACTTCTTAATGAATACCAATTTTACATAGTGCTTTAATCGTCGACATCTGTTAACTGGCATTAAAATAAAATCGCATTTATTGTATCGTAAAGTGCGTTAACGTTGGATTAGTTTAAAATCGAAAGTAAGCAGAAAGTGAAAGAACCAATCATATAATAAATGAAGTACGATTTCACTTGTATGTATGTAAAATATAACTTTACACGTGTCATGAAACACTAAAACGAGTATAATAACCTGTATTCTCATTAATCCACAAAGAATATCACAAAGATTACACACTGAAATTCTCTTTATTACACACACACACACACACACGCGCGCGCGTATGTATGTATATATATATTCCATAATAAAGAGAATTTTTCAATTTGTGATCATTTTATTATAGTACATATATATATATATATATAGAGTGTATGTGTGTGTGTGTGTGTGTGTGTGTATATAATATGTAAAAAGATTATAAAATAAAACGAGGAAAAACTCATAAAGAGAAAATGATATAAAATTTGTTACATTCGTTATATTTTTAAATTATTGAAAGTAAAAAGAAACAACATTCTCGGATTTCCTTATACATAAGTAATATTTAAAAATAAAATTTAAATAAAGAAGAAAATTGTCTTTTAAGAAGTTATGTACTTAGAAATATTACAGAAATAATACATGTTTAATTGTAAAAGTCAAGAGTATAAAATCGTAATGGATTACGTAAATTGCATAAAAGTTCATAATGTAATATCTTTAATTGATTGTATATACATAATATGTAAGTGTACTAGAGATTATTATTCAACCGTTCGTGATGACCGTTCTTACGTAATAAATATAATAAGCGATATAATTTCGAATAAGAATAAGAAATCGAATAAGAAATAAAGTGGGTGTGAAGAAAATCAGAATTCTTTGCAGTTGCTTTTTCGAGGAGTCATGCAATTTGTGCAACTTGAATTGCGGTAAATCGATTTCACTTGAAGGTAAAGAAAGGAAGTTATTTCATCAGAACAATTTTCTCTTTATGAGTATGTAATTCTTTTCATCTTTACTTTAATTTTATCTACTTCCTGATAATATTGCTATGATATTCGATGAAGAAGCAACTCATTTACTTTCATTATATTTGAAGAATAATGCGTCGATTTTCTTTCGAAGGAGAAATCATACCGACGAGTTTCCGGTGTGTTTCTTTTTTAAGTGCATTTTGATACTATCAAATTAGATAACTCGCAAAGGTGACCACACTGTACTGAAAGGTATGTACGTTTATTCACAAATCAAAGCGTGAAATTTGCAACAGAGAACTTGCGAAAATCATGTTTACGACATTGTGCACGCGAAACTACACGTGAAAATTTGCGTAAACCACTTAGGTGAGAGTGATTCAAGTGAAATAAAGTGATTCATACAGGAACTGTTTTCAAGAAAACAACTAATACCGTTGTTATTTAGTTTTCATACACGGTTCACTGAATATGTTCTGTTTATAAGGCGGGCTGCGAAAGAGACTTTTAGTCACTACTAAACTCCGCTCTCAGAAGAGTTAAGCGCACATTTAGCGCATATATAGAGTGGAAATGTTCAAATTCGAAATACATGTGGGTGTCGGATTTGAGTGTGAATTCGTTATGTGTGATGTCGGTTCACTTAATTGAGCGAGACGAGATAACTTACAGATAAATGCGCTCGTATGAATGCTAATAAAGTGACGATTTTATTTTTAGTTCTCCTTTCAATAATATTCAATAATAATGCTAATCGATAATAGTTACTTGTTGAAAAAAAAAAAAAAGATCAAATCCATTTTAGACGATCTATAACTTGTAGCTTGTTTTATATGTATAATACGAAAATATTTTATTAGTTTTACAAAATATTACAAATTGAGAATTTTGTTGTATGCATATTCATTTCATTTGAAATTTATTTTATTTTAGTATAATATGAATGACAAAATAGGAAATACATTTTCTCTAAGAGATTTTTCTAATAAAAATTGTGTTGAATAAGAATAATATGTGTACTTTTTTATGATTAATAATCTTATACGCAAAACACACAATAGGTTTTATTTTTAATTTATTTATTTACTTTATTTACTTATTTTTATTTTATGCTAAAATATTATTTTATAATAAATTAATAAATTATGAGTAATAAATTGATCACTGCATTGGTTTTCAATAATAAGCTTATTAATTACTTTAAAGCTAATTTTTTTTTAATAATATTTATTTTAAATTAATTAAGATAGAAAGGAAAGGAAGAAAAAACTGACAATTAAAAAAATATAAAAAAAATAAAAAAAAAAATTATAAATAAACTAATTATTTCCTAATTAATATTAAATAGCTTAATATTAAATATTTGTAAAAGAGACATATGGTAATGTGACAAAAAAACGAAAAAAAATTGATGTAATACATAAATTTACATTTATGTGCGTCTGTATAAAAATTATCTCAATTCTCGATGATATCTCTTATCAGACTAATTTTATCTAATTTTACGACAAATCCCTTTGACTATTATTACTTCCATTTTATTCTTCGATTTTCTGATAAAACCACAATGTATATGATTAACTTTTTCCAATAAAAGATAAGATCTATGATCTATCTCTAATTCGATTATGGATTAAATCATAGGTGTATGCATGTTGACGTGTAAAAAACAAACAATGTTTTTAAATATTTCAAAATAAAATTTTTATTGTATTTCTTATGTAACATCTTTCTGCTTTAGGCTCTACTTTTGCTGGTTGTCACAATGGCTTTAGTATTGGCGATGCCATATCCTGGCGGTCATCACGAACAGTAATTTTTTAGTTTTTGCATTATTGCTCCATTCTTTTTAAATGATATACAGTTTTATATGACACAAAATTATTCAGAGACACTTGAAATTGCTTTTAGCACGCACTTCAAAATCCACGTGCCATATCATATTCATGAACATCATCATACACACGTGAAGAAAATTTATATACCGGTTCACGTCAAATCACATGACGACCATAAACACGAAGAAGTTGACTGGTAAATTATCTTCGCGACGTTCTTATGATTAAGGAACTTTGTTATGACAGAGATTATTTAATCATAATCGTCTGAACGACTTGTTTGTTATCGTTCTACACTGTTAATTGTGTAAAATAAACTATATTTATAAACTAATGACTTAATTAATTGCTTCTTTATTCTATCGATTTTATTCCTTATCTGCCATCAATTTACTGACAGTTTTGAATATAACAAAATTTGTATCAAATTTGGCTTTTTGTTATCAAAATTTGTAGCAAATAGTATTTAAAATATTTCAATAGACTTGACTAGATAGCCAAATAGATAATTTCTCTCCTTGTGATTTTTACGAATTATTAGTTTTTAGAATTGTAATTATTTAATAGAAACAAAGGAAATGAATAAATGTACCTTCTAAATATTTTTTTTTATATCAAAAGTTTATTATATAAAAATAATAAAAAAGTATAACGTGAAGTAAAATATATACAAGCATTTCGCTTCTGAATACACACGCGTGCACACAGAATATTTGGTTCTTATGCTAAATTCTTAATGCTGTACTGGTGGCGCGAGTAATTTTGTTGATCAGTTCTCTTTGTATTTTACGAGAAAACTTCTTATCAATAGATCCGCAATGAGGATTGAATTTTATTAATTTTTACTTACTCGGATTCCATCTTGTACGGTAATCTGAAAATCCAGTTTACAAATCGTTAAGTATACGTATAAATTAACAAATTAGAGTAATTATACTTTTTACAATAAAAATAAAATATCAAATAATATTGATAACTTATAGATATATACATTTTCATAATATGTAGATTGTCCCAGACTTCATCTTGTACATTACTATTTTTTATACGTGTGTGTGTGTGTGTGTGTGTGTGTGTGTGTGTGTGTGTGTGTACACATATATATATAGTTAATGAGAAAAGAGTGTATTCTATTGTACATGAAGTATACTTATATAAAATTCTTTCCTTCTTTTTTGAAAATTATTGATGTGTTTTTTAATTTGATATAATTTTAGTATTAATCAGACTTTTGTTCAAATTACCAGTAGACAATACAAACCTATAACATAATTAGAATCGAAGATAAAGCCGTCTGTTTAAAACCAACCATGTTTCTCCTCATGTATTGGTACAGGGACGGGAACCTTATGTATAACTGGAACAGGCACGGCTACTTTTTCGACATGGTGAACAGGTACTGGGACTGGTACTTTTTCGACGTGATGCACTGGAACTGGAATGTGAATGGGGACTTTCTCGATATGATGTACGGGCACGTGGATCTTTTTCGTGTGATGATGATGGATCGTATGTACTTTGTAAGGCACGTGGATTATATGATGTTCACTGAAATCATCCAATCGTTTTTCATGTGATGCCATATTTACAAGTAAATGTAATATTTATAAGTAAAATTTTGATCGATAAGAATAGATCAAATAAGAAAAAGAATATCATATTTAATTATTCTTTTTATTTATTTATTTGTTTATTATTATGCAATGAGTAATCAAAATTATTAATAATTATACTATATAACTATCTATATTATATTATAAATAATTAAAATTATAAGTAATTTTAAGAGAGATGTGATGTTCTATAGGATGAAACTTCTAGATTAAAATATAAATAAAAAAAATTGTCGAAACGTTACTTACTGATGATGATGACCTCCTGGCACCGGCGATGCCAAAGCCACAGCCATTATTCCGAACACGAGCAACTGTAACAAGAGAGGTGGTCGCGGTTTGTTTATAATATCGAAAGTGCATCGCGTACAGAAGTCATTTAAATGCACGGCTTTTTTTAAATTCGCGTTTCACCACTCTTAAAATCCGTTTTTTTTTCCTGCGTAACGACGATGTAAAAGTACCGAGCTTCTATAAATTCAAGCAGCAATGATTACACAGGCACAGAACATTTTTTTTATTTAAAGAGTAAATATCGATATTTTTATGTATTTTTGACGCTCTAAAATCGAATTCAATGTTCAAATTACTCCATCGCATCATAATTTCTTTTATCGATGGAAAACAGCTCGATTTTCCAGTATTATTATTGTAACGTGATGTAACAAATTGAACATCAGATTCGGTTTTATAGCGTTAAAATACATAAAAATCTGATCTCTAGTTCAAACATTAAATTTTTGTTTTATATGCCTGTGTTATCATTTAATCAAGATCTCTTCAGTCAATGAAAAAACTAATTCTTTTTTCTTTTTTTTCTAATGGAAGAATTTTAATGTTATAACAAAAATTCGCAATTTTAGTCTTGAACATGATCCTTGATATACTACTAGTTACAATGTATTACCCTCAAAAAATGTATTTAATGATTATTTTATTGAATATTTATTTAGTCTAATTAAATACTGGAAAAAAAAACAATTACAGCTCTACAAACAGTCAATGGATCTTGTCGCCGTTATTTCTGTACAGTAAGATAAAAGCTATACATAAAAAAATTTTGCTTAGCTGTCATATATCCTGCGTTCGCTTTGGGCACACGCGTTGAAGCTTCATTCTATCTTATTATTCATTATATTTCGGAAGAAAGATAGAATGAAGCACAGAGTTAATTAAAATTTCGCCTGAATAGGAAGAGTACAAAATTAATTATGCAAAATTACGATTTGAATATCAAGAAATTTCAAATATCTTTCGGCGATTCTCATCTTCGAGAGAAATTTTGCAATCACAAAACACATTTTGCAAAATTGACGCGGTATATATACACTTACTTAGTTGTACTGTTAAAATCACTGACGACCACAAAACTAAACGACGAACATCGGAAGTACCAAAAGGAGTGCGATGAAAATAATATGTAGGTATATAATAGTAAATCACTCACAGCGATAGTATGGGAGCGCATCTTCAACTCTGTTTGTTTTAATCGATCTATCGTTATTTTTTGAAAATTCGCGGCGATGGCGGCTGTGCGTGCTGCACTGTTTGCAAACTGTGTCGATACGATTCTGTGTTTTGATCGTCGGGGATGTCCGCTTATAAAGAACGGACACGGCGATGATCAAAACTACCCGGTGAAATTGTATAGGGTGGGAGAGCAAAGTAGCTCGGGATCCAGGGGGTTACGTAAAAGCAAGGAAACGTATGGCCTGTGTTACGTTCGTTTCGGAGCTACGTAACTTTCCGTTGTGCGTACGATATGTGTAAGTTGCGTCTCGAAGGTGGTGCGGGAAATGCGGCAATACGATCGAGTGTGCATGCATGTGCCTTAGCGCACTATAAGATCGGATTTTGCACGATAACGTGTATAATCGTACGTAACTCCTTCAATTTCCTTTTTCTCGTTTGCGGGTCGTTCAGACTTGTTGGCATTTGGCAAAATAATTTTTAAAAAAGTGTGAATCCGCGATGGTTGTGATTTCCCTGATGAAAATAAAAATCGGAACGTAAATTAGATGTCATGGGAGAGTAACAGAAAGGTAAACGAAAGTTTGAGGAGGCGAAATGAAATGTAAAAGAAGCATTTACACTTCCTTTACATTTTGATTCATTTGTACATATATGTATTAATTATTGAAATTACTTACCGGATTATTTTGATAAATGTATTGCTAAATGACATCCGTGTGAAAACTTCATTTTTGATTGTACAATAATGATTGTAACAATAATGAACTGACTTATCAAGTGAAAGTATTACTTTGTTTATCTCAATAACATGCATTGTAATTAATATTTTATAGAATATTATATTATATACTATTATTATTGTTCTGTTATTTAATTCTTATCGTTTTTTATCATTATAGTTTAGTATTTAAATTATTTTATAATATAATAATAAATTAATATAATATAATAAAGATGATATACGTAATGTATGTACATGAAAGAACTGCTTCTGTGAGAGTGAATAAAAAAGTGAGAGTGCGCACAAAAATCTGAAAACATAAATTTCTCATTAGTTGATAAATTAATTTATATATTCTGTTATGTTACAAAAATCAGGAAATAGGCATTACATCACGAAGCGAAACACTGTTCTCCTCTCTTGATCTGAAGAATATTTCCATTGGATGCGTTTATTCTTTTCCTTTTTCTTTGACCAACGCATAATAGATAGAGATGGATTCATTGTAACAATACTTTTATTCTTGATTACAAAAAGATTACATATTCGCCATGTATATGCACGAACGCAGGAAGTCACTCACTTCTCCATTAATAAATTGTACTGATTTCACTCGTAGCATTGCGTCGCTGAAACAGCTTCTGGTTTTGGAGAGAAACTTAAGTCTGATTAATCCCGTAAAAGGTCAAAGTTCTATGAAATGTAAATTCATTATTTAAGTGTGACACGATATTGCATATATATAATCCTAGTCACGTCCTAGTCACGAATGATATAATGAACGATTTCCTAAATATTGCGTGTGGAATTTGGGGGAAGATAGTTTGCATCATAATTGATTATGATTGTCTAATCATAAATACAATATTAGCGAAAGTTGGACACGAACACGTGCGAACATGATAATAAATATATATCATTATTGATGTAACGCGTATACATGAATGATACCTTGTACACATAATTGTATATACTGTACCGGCTTTCCCCCAACAATAATTTCCTTCCGTAATATTTATATAGAGCAAAAATTGTTGGTTGCAATTACTATAATTTAACTACAATATAACATAGATTATCCAGCAATATTGCTGCAAATTTCTGTAAACATATATGATTTAAAATAATTTTTGGTACCAATATGTATATTTTTTAGTAAAATTATAAATATAATATAAATATAATAAAAATATTAATATAATTATTATTACATTATAGCAGTAATAATTGTAGAAGCTTCTAATATATAATTATTATTATTTTACCTTACAATTATATATGTATAATTATACATACAAAATGTACATATACAGTTTTTCGTAAAATTTTTCGTTGTGTTTATTGAATTCTTATAATTTACTTTAATAAATGCATTAATCTACAGCACTTTGAGTGTATAACACTTTAATACATTAATTTTTAATATGTGTTAATTAACATTTATTAAAGTAAATTCTAAGGCTTATGCAGTGAAAGAAATATTGATTTTAATTGCAATTAAATAAAAGATACAATTCGAGATTATAAATTATAATATCTCGAAGTAAACGTGTCTTACTTTATTAACTTAAATTTTTTGAGACGCATGTATTTTATCGGTATCATACATCAGCTGCATAAGAATGCTAGTATTCTTGTCAATTCTCCTGCATTCAGATCGATTACGAAGCTTTCCAAACAAACCATTCAGTGTTAAGACCAAGGTAACGATCGAGACCGTGTTGTACATATTACACGCTCCGTTGCAATTATGCTCTTTTCTTTTTTTTCGATAGCATATCGGTAGACCCAATCGGTGTAACAGGAAGTGGTGCAAGCTGCATACTTAAAATATTCATCATACAAGGAGAAAGCGTTTCGTAACCTCTTACACACTCGCCTTTGGGTATTTCAATACGGAGCAGGTAGTCGCGCGGTTCGAATAAGAAAAAAAAATAAATAAATATAAAAATATGATTGAGCGACTATTTGTTCCGATGAATTCATCAATATGTAGGATATCCCAGACCTACCGCATCAAAATTAATAAGCATTTCAAGTTAGCGAATTATGTCACTTCTCATACAGCACAGAAAGATTGCAGAAAGATTGCAGAATGATTTCACTGAAACATTGCAATATTGCATGGTAGTTGCGAATTGCTGAATTATTGTTGCGAAATTCCAACAATGTTAAGATGTTCGCTTTTTGTTATTGTATATTGCAAAAAAAGGTTCCAGCAATGTATTTGGATAATTTTTACGAAGACTCTAAAATAATTTTTACGAAGGATTTTTACGAAGATTCTAACATGAAAGCTATTTCTATATCTCTATACATATATCTCACTAACATTAATTTTTCTACAAATCGCATTTCTAGTGCGTGTGATATGTGTTTTCCAAAAGAAATTTTTTAAAATCAAAAAATATTCCAATAAATATAGTATTAATTTTGAAGGATAAATTTATTCGTAAGGATAAAGCATGTATGTGTGTCCCCGAACAAACTATTCGTACAAATATTATTCACATTAATATAATAATACAGTCGCTTGGTAAGTTAATCATGGATTAAGTTAAGCGCAGTGATTCTTTTTAATTCGAAACCGAGTCTATTGAAATCCATTAAAAAATGACGGTATCAAATTTATCAATAAAATTCGGGCGCTAGTTTATTCTTGTGTTCATATCAGGTAAATCTAAATACATCATCGATCACATAATTAATATTTCGATAAATTGTTTTCAGCAGTTTAATTGCTTATCATCTTATCCGATAATAATGCATTGATTGTATTTAAATTCGATATTTATAATAGATCAATAAATTTTTTATTTAAATATAAAATGAATTATATTAATTATTACATCATAAAAATGACTGTTAAATTAAAAGACTGTACTACATAAATATTGTAAAAACTTATATTTTTATATTATTATTATTGTAACAATTAATGAAAGAAGAACTCATACAGCACAGAAGATTGAAGCAATATTGCTGCAATGTTGCAATATTACAGTTTTGCAATGTTTGTGGAATATTACAAGCATATTATTGACATTTTGCAGACATATTGTTAATTTACATTTTTGTAATACTTCTGCAATGTTACATTGCAATATCTGTAATATTTCAACATTGCAGCAATATTGCTTCAATCTTTTGTGCTGTAGATTGTGTGGGTTAAGTTCTTCATTTAGTTGTGATTTGTGATTGACATTTTGTCACGAAATACTAATCACATCTAAACACATTAACTTTAAGCGATATCATTCGCTAATTCTAAATGCTTATAATTCAAAAATTATTATAATCCCGACATTTTGTGATATTAGAATTTTTGTCTCGAAATGATTTTAGAAATTTGCTATTAATAGTGCGATAGATTTGGTATATCTTCCAATTGTGTAAGAAATAACGCATTCATATCGAACGATTTTTACCTCGCTATATGCACGCGTTAATGAGAGTTCTTTTTGCTTCTTGATCGACTCTTCAAACAACACGACACAATACATAATCTAATAGGGACTTTTTATGATATAATACCTGAAAATGAATAATACTATTACGATGCAAAATAATTAATTAGTTCATTAAATTTTTATTTTAAAAGATTATTTTTTCAAAAGATTCTAATAAATTAATATTTATATTTTCATAAGAAAGAGAATATCCTATTGTATAATTATTAATAATGTATGTTTTAATAATGTATGTATTTTTGGAATCAAAAATTTTAATAATAACGTGACAAAAATAACATGATTACAATAGTAAAAGATAGTTCTTGAATAAGCAAATCAATATTAATTAACATTGCAGTAAACAATTGGCCTCTGTGATTAGTATATTTATTATTAAATTTAAAATAATTTACTGTTGTGTAGAC